TGTGCAAAGATTTATGCTTCTGAAGTGAAACAGTGAAAAATTACTGCGCTTTTAATAAATAAATAAATGTTCAGACGTTGTCTAGTTTGTCCAATTTTGGCACAAATGTTTTAGTTATTGAACAGCAGACACTATTTAAATTCAATTGCATGTCTAAAAATGCTTGTTTTTTGAATATTTTTGAAGAATTACCCACACACTCACATCCAATGGCCTACTCTGCCATAGACAGTTTAAATAGGTTTTGAGGGGCTGTAACTTCAGCTTCTATTGGCTGATTTGCATGATTGACACCTCTTTTTAATAGTTTGAGCCAATAGAATCACCGTAATTATGCCATGTTCACATCAGTTCCACCAATCAGAAGTTGCAAGTCGAAAACTCCACATGACCCTGAAAGTAAGACATAATCCAGTAATGTGACTGTAACTTGGCTGAAAATGGCGATTGTTGATGTGGCTCTGATGCATTGTGTTAGCACCGCCATTATCAGTAGCTACAGCTATCGGCTATTGGTGGGGAACAGCGGAGGAAAACGCTCAGCTAAGCGGTTTTCTGCTTTAGCACATATGGAAAGTTGCATATTTGTGGTCTTCTTTGCCACTGGTTCAATGAACTTTGGTCGGAGCGTGGTGAAACTTGCAGATTTCGAATCCGTGAGATCTCTGGTTGCTAACTAGGCAACGTTTATCCGGTTACACAAAGTCGAGTGAGTTCTTACCTCCATTGTTTGTGTTTAGTGAACTTTTGCGAAATTATATAACTGCTCTTTAGCATTTGGTCGTTGTAGAAATGGTTTATATGAGCTTTTAGCTGAGATTCTGAGGTTTCTGTGGATACCACACAGGTCGAAATCTGCATAAAAGACCTGATGGAGGGTTAAACTGCAGTTCATCCCCTTTGCTCCCCGATGGCCTTGGGGCTCATGAAGAAATCCAACATAAATTATTGCTGTTTAAGCCACCAGAACTCATAAGTCCCTGTTGGAAGTACACATTTTAAGGGTTTTCAAAAAGATACTCTGAGCTAAAATTGATCACGTTTAAAGTGAGTCTAATTTTTATAGCAAACTCTCAAAGCTTTATATGTACAGAGTTTGCATATATAAAATTACTGATAGAAAAGGTGAGGGCTGAGTTCACCTTAATACACCTTACTATAGCTTATTAAACCTACCCTTTTTATGTACAACATACTGTAAATGTCAACAGTTTCAGACAGTTCTAAACTTTACCAGCAGACAGACCAATTTTTCATGAACAATGATAATTATTATTATACTTTAAGTTTGGAAGAAGACTGTTTTTCTTTGTACATTACCAGTGCAATGTTGAAGTCAAGTAAGTTTAAGTTTTGTAGCAAGACGGTGGGCTCATAATAATCCAGTCCATTTATGATTGTTGTAAATTTCCTCTGTACCACATAAGCTGTATTTGTGGGGGTTTTATGTTTGTTAGTTTCTTGTTAATTTTGTAATTCTGTTTCTCTATAATGCCACAGAGTAGGTTATATATGGGACCAGGGACCAACATTGTATATATAAATAACTATTTAGATTAAACATCTCTTTAGTTTTATATGATATGGTTTTGGACATTTTTGCTTTTACACCTGTTTACATTGAGCCTTCCAACATAATATATATTCAATTAACACACAGAAATTTGGTTTCATACACTGAATATCATTCATCATAATTTTGACTTTATTTGTTTATTTCCCTGTTACTTTTTTTTGCTGTAATGTAGTGATATTTGATTTACATCAAACCATTTAATTCCCGTTCCACTGCATTTAGAAACCATTTGAACCTTTTCCAGAGCAATATACAGTTTAGGGTCCAAAATCCTTTGGAAGAAGAAACACTACGTGCATCATGGGAAATCCCCAGCAGCCTGTGCCTATTGCAGCGCAAATAAAGGAGAATGCAGGGTTACCTGATCCTGCCACTGTTACTTTTCTGTTTTAGAACCTTATAAAACAGCGGTCTCCAACCTTTTTTGCGCCA